CCATAGTGCGTAGTTATCTGAACCAGTAAGCTGAAGAGAGATCAGAGTACTACCTGGAGTGTCTGTTGGTTGAAGGAAGAGTGGGTGATTGTGGTCAATTGCTCTGATACCAAGTAAGAAGGTTTGCAAACTTCACAAGTCCTTATATGGTCCTAAACAAGCACCAAGACAGTGTAATGTGAAGTATCACCTACCGTTTCTTCTATAGTCGCCATTTTCAGTTGCTTCTTAAGAGTAAACCCTAGACTTTCTACTACACGCTATAATTGGATAATTTTCCAGAAGAATTGCAAAATTGAAGTAACAAGCGTAGAGACTGACTTGAGAACTACCTTCGATCTACTCTGGTGGCTCTGATACCATGTTAGCTGTCATGGATCTAAGGATTGAGCTTGAGGAAGAAGACATGCAAATGAAGGAAGCACTCAAGAGAAACAGAATTCTATTATTCTGAAGAAGAAGAAGAAGAAATGATACAGTGTATCGTTTATACAATGAGTACAATGTATTTATACAGTACATTATAACTAACTTATAATACTATACTAACTAACTAACCTTCAACTACAGTTACATAGGTAACTACAGTTAATTTATCAGCTTGTTCACTAACTCTAGTCAACAGTTAGCCTACGGATTTTTGTGTCGCTTCACCCAATTTGTTTCTTTAACAAAGTAGTTTGTAAAAGTAGAAATAATAGAGTGATTTGGGTCTTAATGTGGTATGGTTACTTTATTGAGTGATACTCCCATTTGTTAGCGTCCCACATCGGCTATGGACGAAGGCGTTTGATTTCTTTATAGAGGAAATAACACTAAATGCTTATCACTCTCAAAATATTTACCCGGATTTTCCCATTTGGAAATTAATTACAACTCTTACCTTGGCAATCTAAACTTATTACCCGTAAATTTACTTGTCTTTTCCCTTTTAATTTGCTTTACGCTTTTACCCAGCATAAGGGGCAAATTGAAAATACAAATCTTTTTTTCGTTCTGTTTTATTCTATGACTTGAATTCCAAGACTTCTGACTTCTGCAAAACATTAATCTGCCATTTGAAGACCTTGAAACTTGAAACTCATAAATTGGGTTTGTGGTTATTTTGATCCGATTCTAACTGGGTATGTTCGAAATTTTATTTGGATGATGTGGTTATATTTCGAGTCAATTTGGTGGAGATTTTAGAGTAGATTTTAAAATTTTAGGTTAAAATTAAGTTGAACTAGCAAAGAAGGCAGATTTGTACTGTATACCAAAATGTTATATTGTATACTGTATTGGTATACAATAATTAATTCAAGAGTATATAAATAACTACAATAGTATACTACTAATTATTTTTGAAGGAATGAACCAATTCTATATATACAAAAATAACATATTATAAATTATTTTGGTTAATTCAATAGTGTATAATTTATTGCGTTGAACTGGAGAAGAAGAATTTGTACTGTATACCAAAATGATATACTATATACCATTTTGGTATACAGTTCATTCCACTGATATACTATTATAGTATACTTTATAATATAACGGTATACTCTTACTATTAGGTCCTTTTAGAATTTTTTAAAATTTTTATTGATAACTGATATTATTTCAGTTTAATAATTTAATTTAAAAAAATCTTTTTTAAACTCTTTGCGTACAATTGTATACCCTGTTGGTATAGCTATATACTATACTGGTATCATATGTTAGTTGGAACATTTTTTGATTGTATTAGCTACATTTAATTGGTACACTATTTGATTTTTATTTAGTAATAGTAGAATAGTACAATATCTTGAAGTTTTTTAATTTTTCTTTATGCATGTGTATTATGTAATCATTTTGATTTTTTCTTTATGCGTTTGTTTTATATAATAGTATTATAGTACAATATCTTGAAATATATTATTATATTAATATGTGGTATACAAGTTTTTGATTTTTCTGTTTATGCATGTGTATTATGTAATAGTAGTATAGTCATAGATAGTTGCCTGGAATTAATTAGTAGAACTATATACCCTATTGGTATAATTATATGTCATATTGGTATCATATGGTAGTTGGAATATTGTTTGGTTGTTTTAGCTGCATTTTAAGTGAATTCTATTCTGAAATGATTTATATGATCATATTTTGTTGTGTTGGATTTTCTTTTACATATGGACATAGATTTTATGTATTATGTAATAGTTTTTATACTTATATGAAGTTGTTGGAATGACCCCGTACAACTATACCCTATTAGTATAGCTATATACTATATTGGTATCATATGCTAGTTGAATCATTTTTTGGTTGTATTAGTTGCATTTAATTTGTACACTATTTGATTTTCTTTTAATAATAGTAATATAGTATAATATCTTGAAATACTTTATTATATTAATATGTGGTACACTATTTTTTTTTTTATTTTTCTCTTTATGCATGTGTGTTATGTAATAGTAGTATAGTCATATAGTTGTCGGGAATTAATAAGTAAAATTGTGTACCATGTTGGTATAGTTATATGCCATATTGGTATCATATGGTAGTTCAAACATTTTTTTGGTTGTTTTAGCTGTATTTTTAAGTGAATTCTATTATGAAATTATTTATATGAACATGATTTATAGTGTTGGAATTTTTTTATGCTGATGGACATAAATTATGTGTATTATGTAATAGTTTTTATAGTTATAGGCAATTGTTAGAACGACCTCATACAACTATATACCCTGTTAGTATACAAAATGAACAAGTTGCTTTGCGAATATTTACCTTGCAATGCGAGTATATAATTTTCTCATACTTTTATTGCATCCTTTAATGTTTTAGTATAATAGTATAGTCGCAAATAGTTGTAGCTATATTCTAGAGCAATCATATACTCTGTTGGTATATATGTATACCACATTGGTATCATATGGTACTACACGTCTCTTTTGCTACTTATACTATTATTGTATTTTTTAATATTTTATTATCATCTATATTCTAACTAGTATATATAGAGATTTGGTGGCCGTAGATTATGCTTTCTTGCTCCATAACTGGTTGTGTTAGTGCTAATGGTGGAGTGTGTACTAATATTTGTAGGGAAAGGAGATCAAGGTTTGCATGGCAATCACGTGTTGATTCTTAGAATTTGATTATATAATTTATGGTGCTCAGCAGCAGTCAGTGTGATATTCAATGAATTAGATCAAGTGACAACTGATATTATTTCAGTTTAATAATTGAATTAAACAATAAGAAAAAAAGATAAAAGGTATATTATACTAGTTATATTAAAAAAAAGGTGAACAAATATTTACTATATCAGTTATTTTTTCTTATTGTATAAAAACAAGAATAATAAAAAACAGTTAAAACAATAAATGAAATTAGATTATGAAGAGAAAAAGAATATATAAAAAAAGAATTTAAATGAAATTAGAAAAGGAACAAGAAATAAAGAAAATAAAAAAAAAGGAGTTAAATGGAATTAGAAAAGAAATTTAAAAAAATAAAAATAAAGGAGCCAAAATTGAGTGCGAAATAAGTTATGGTAAAAATAACAATAATACGATTTGGGCAAAAATAAATGAATAGAAAAAGAGAAAAAAGAAAAAAGGTAAGAAAAAAACGAGAAAAAAGAAAAGGAGAAAAGAAAGAAAAAAAGGAAAAAATAAAAGAAGCATAAAAATAAAAAAGAATTGGAGAAAAAAGAGAAAAACCCACAAAAACTACTATGGGTATGAAATGTAATTAGTTTGATGGGTAAAAAAATAAATGGGTAGGTAAGGGTAAATAATTTTATTTTTGTGGGTAACTATGTCATTTATAAAAGTAATTTTGTGGGTAAAATAATTAGTTTGGACATGAATACAATTTGGAGCTGTTTTTTAATTTGTGAGTGATTTGAAGTGAAAATTTTGAAAAATAACTTTTTGGGGCTTTTTATATTTTTGAAAAATTCCGAAATGCAACTTCAAGTGAAATTTAAAATTTTCATGGACAAACACTGATTCCGAAAAAAAAGAAAAAAAAAATTTCTTATGACCAAACGGGCCTTAAGTGTCATTTGTTGTTGATATTTCACTTAATGCTGGGCCATGCCCCATCTATTAGAAGTCTTAGGAGAGGCCGAGAAAGAAAGATTTGAAGTCTTGTTGTAGGCCCAACAAAACGATCCAATTGGTGAATAAAATAGAGGAATTAATCAAAAGAGTTGTTTACTCGACTACTTAAATTAAAGCGATATTAACATAAATAGCCGGCAATATTTATTGTTTACTTTTTCTATCCATATTCATAATTTATACATTGATTATACATAATTATACACATATAATATATAAATTATGCATATATTATACCTCCACTAGCAATTAGTTTAGGTGGTTGGGTGGATGACTATTTGGGTTAATTCTTCTTAAAAAATAGTTGACATATGTATAATATATGTATAATATAATTTATATATAATATGTGTATAATCGTATACAAAAAATATATTCTACATATACCGGTTTGAAAATGTAAATAGTGAATCCAACACATTGGGTTTGCCCTACAGACAATTTATTATTTATGTAAATAAATTCCCAATAAAATATCTCCCCTAGAGATACTTTCCCATCAGACATACTGGGTTTTCCCAATAACCAAGAAATAACAAGATCAATTGTTTTTCGTTTGTGTATATCTTTTTGATTGTGTTGTCTAAGTTAAGAGCATACTATTTATAACTATTGCTTCAAAGATTGTTCTCTTCTATGGACAGTAATCAATATGCTAGTATACATTCATCTTGATATTTTCCTTTAGCTTAAATAAAAGAGAAAATCAATAGAATATGCTGGATGTTGTTGTACAATGAAATGTGTCAAATTTTTATGAAGAAAATCATTACAACACTGAATGATTTAATGCACAAACTTAACCATTCCAACCTCCACGTAGCTTCAACCACCCCACTAAGCAAAAAGCTTCACCTTTTCACATTTCAAGTTCACATGATTCATCCACAAACCCAAGCCACTAATCAACTCCATAAAACCAAGCATATCTTACACACATAGAAAGAAAAGAATTCTCTATTTTAACCAAAATTATGGCTTCCAAAGTTTATAACATTTGCTTTGTGTCCATACTTGTTTACTTGCTAGCTATAAATAATAATTCATTTCTTCCTCAAGCAAATGCAGCAGGAAAAGGAGGAGGGTGTGGGAATGCACCAGCTGCTAGTAGCCTAATTCCATGTCTTGGAGCAGCTAAAAATGGAAGGACAAAAGTCCCTCCAGCTTGCTGTGGTAAAATTGAGGCTTTGCTAAAGACTTCTCCAAAATGCCTATGCGCGGCATTACTGTCACCCGCAGCTAAAAATGCAGGAGTTAATCCTGTTATTGCTGTCACTATTCCCAAGAGATGCAACATCAAGAATAGACCTGTTGGGAAGAGATGTGGACGTAAGTTTAATCTAACCATTGCTTTTCTATAATTAATAAAGATGAATATAGAAAGTAAAAAAATGAATAAAAGCTATTTCCTACTCCTTTTTAAAACTCATGGAGAAGTTGAAGAAGAATAGTACGAAATAAATCATGACCAATGGAATGTAAAAGTATAATTTTACTACACATATGAATATAATTAAAGCAATTTTGTCCGCATTTATATCATTTAATAATAGGTTTGCTATCATAAACCAAAAACATGGAGCTTTACGTAAGATTAGACACTTTAGAATAGGGAAATGATATTGAATAACCGTTTTAAAATAATAGCCCATATATATATAGAATATGTGTGGATGCTTACAAGTAGTAATCTCAGACAAATTGTATATGACTTTTCCTAAAATTGTTATTTTATCTAATTGAAGAAAAGATAAACTTAAACATAGTCAATTCCATGGGCATGCTGTCTATTTTGTTATGGGAAAAAATAAAAAATAATCATAGTTTCAAAAGTAATCAAAATTTAGTCACTTTTTTTTTTATATAAAGATAAAATTTGAACAAAAACACCCTTAAAAGTTCGGAAAAATTTCAGCATAATATGCTGGAGTTTGAATTTTTTACATATGGGATTCCAACATATTGTACTGGAATTTCATAATGTGCTGGAATTCCAACATAATATGTTGGAACTTTATAGGAGCTCCATAATTAAGCATATTATGCTGGAACTTTCCGTGTTGGAGTTCCAATATAATATGATGGAAATTTATACGCAGGAGCTCCATAATCAAGCATATTATGCTAGAATTTTTCGTATTTCAGCAAAATAATGGCTATTTTTAAAATTAAAAAAAAATCACAAATGCTGACTGTTTTTTCGTTACTAGAAAACTGACTAGCCCGTGCTATTTTCACTTTTTGTTCTTTGACGTTTGTACTTTCGCATTTAAGGTGACACTTTGTCGAAATGAATCTATGGGCTCAAATTGAGCCTAAATGAATCTTTGGGCTTTTTGAATGTGTATAGCGGGGAAAGGTGTATAGCAATTAAAACTAAAATACTAGGTCCATTTGTTCAAAAGCCCACTTCAAATGGCTACCCATTTAGGTTCTGTTCTCTTCTTTTTCTGCCAAATTAGGGTCCTAATCAAATTCTTTTTTTGTTTCGTTGCAGGATATGTTGTTCCATGAGTTCAGGACTCTCAGCTTGGATGGAGGAATAAAGATGAATTTCCAGCTACTTGACTATTATGTTTCACCAATATAAGTATTTCTAGTTTGCTATTTAATAAAAGTGTTGCTAGTTTGGCGTTCCTTAATGTATCATCTATATTTTCATAGTTCCATTCATCATATTTGGATGATTGGCAAGAAAATCAGGGCAAATCCTAATATTTGAACGTAAAAAAATAGTGTCATTTGCACTTTAATTTGTACCTTATTTGGTATTTTCATGGTACATTTTTTTTACCCCACTCTATTTGCTTGTAGCATACCAATATAGTAAGATTTCGGCGGCAGCGTAAAAATTTTAGCTGGAATAATTTGATAAAGAAATAGAGGTTAGACTTAATTCAACCCCAAAAGCTAATCAAGAGACTAAAATTGTCTAAAACCATATAAACATACCAAACATCCCAACCCATAGCTTATGTGGGCACTAACACCCTATCCCCTCCTGCACACAACATGGAGTGTGAATTAGGGATATCAATGGTTCGGTTCGGTCGGTTATTTTATAAAATTTATATCATACTAATTTTTCGGTTATTCTATTATGTATAACTAAAATTAGACTTTTCAAACTCGTCCCAATCATATCGGTTTCTCTTCGGTATCGGCATGATTCGGTTCTTTCCACTAAAATCTCTCCATCCAAAATATTTTGTCACTTTTTTTTCTTTTTCATTATTATTCTTCATCTTAATTTTTTGTGTTATTTTTCAGTAAAATTCTTTCGCCAAAAACTGTTATCACTTTCCTTCACATTGTTTTTATTTATTTTTTAAATAAATAACCGAGTCTTAAAATTTGTATAGGAATACTTTCTACACAACTAGTAATCAATTATGATTATCAAGAGTTACTATGTTACTCTTTTTATTAATTTAATATTTGTAGATAATCTTTTTGACAGTTTTCTACGAAGTTTTAGATTTATTTTTAAAATAACATCTGTCACTTTTTTCTTATAATTATTATTTTTTATCTTAGTTTTTTCTATTAATTTTTCAATAAAATTTCTCTGTTAAAACTTTTATCACTTTATTTCACTTTTATTTTTATTTTTATTCTTTCTAGATAAATAACATAGTCCTAAAATAAGTATTGGAATACTTTCTATACAATCATTAATCGATTATAGTTATCGATAGTTACAGTGTCACTTTTTTTATTTTTGTATTTTATATTTATAGATAATTGTTTTTTGTAATTATTAAAGAAATTAAGGCTTTTTTAGAATAAAAAATATGTCACTCTTTTTTACCATTTTTTGTTATTCTTTCTGGTTAAATCGGTGAATCCTAAAATTTGATATACTATGATAATTATGGTATACCACAGTGTAATCATGGTATACTAATATATAATATACCAAGAACATTGGGTATACCATTTAACGTAGTCTAACAAAGTATATGTCATGATCCAAATCCCAACCTGTCATGATGGCGCCCAACACATCTACTAGGCAAGCCGACAATCACATAACAACTAAGCATTTGGGTTTAAAAATATGATTTAATAAGCTCAACAACGAAAAATCTCATAAATAACTGATAAAAACAACTATAACTCAACTATAATAATCCTAAAATCCTGGTGTCACCGAGTACATGAGCTACTAAGTGTCAACATCACCTGAAAGTCTAGTACAACTGTCTGAGAAAATAGAATAGTACAGAATAAAAATAAAAGGAATGAGAGTCAAGGTCCGGGGGTGTCATAGCAGCTACTTCAAAGCCTCTGAACAGATACTAGCACCACTCTAGCAATCACCGCGTTCAGATGTACCTGGATCTGCACATGAAGTGCAGAGTGTAGTATGAGTACGACCGACCCAATATACTCAATAAGTAACATGACTAACCTTGGGCTGAAAGCAATGACGAGCGCAGAAGGATACAGTCAGAATCAAAATAATGACAACACTGATATAACAAAGAGAACTTTTATATTCATCTCGTTCATAGTACAAAATTTGGTATACTTTCAAGTTCAACATTTCAAGCCCAACATTGATAAAATATGTCAAGTACAGCTATCATGAGGAATGTTACATCTCTATGCATACATGTCAAATATGCATGTCAAACTTAATGTATCAGAGTGATAATCCCAGGTACTCACACTCTCAGGTCACTCAATCTATCTATCTCAAATTTTCACTCATCACACACAATCACTCAGCACTGTACGGGTGCCTGGCATCAATGCCCCTCACCAAAGCACGTGTATATAAATCATTGTGCTTGCGCTCATTGCTGGTATGATAAACTCCAAAGGGGCGAATCCTGCTCAAGTGCTAATATAAAGCCTATAAGGCTTGCTACGACGTGCAGCCAGTTCCACAATAATAAGTAAGCCAATAAGGCCTTCTGCGGTATGCAGCGCGATCCACAATAACACTCACAATCCGGCTCTCAAGCCCAACTCAGTCATCAATCTCTACAGTCTCACGGGCTCAGGAGTCTAATACTACTCAGCCCAAACAATGAAAACATGATGTAACAGTAAATGATAACAAAGATTGAGATATGATATGCAAATGAATAAATATGACTGAGTACATAATTGTAGTTTAAGCAAATACCTCAATAGTATATATAACCACATTGGGTCCCGACAAAATAGGTATATAGCCTAAACATGATTTCTAACATGAATCACAAATCAATTACCCTAACACGTAGAAATTACACAGATAAGACAAGACTACATAACTACACAGCACCACAGAATCAACTAAGTCATAATTATCATGGTGCACGCCCACATGCCTGTCACCTAGCATGTGTGTCACCCCAACACTAACCATATAACACGTACCAAGTTTAGAAGTGTTACTTACCTCAAAGTGCGTAACTTAATGCTCCAACAAACCCTTGCCTCGTGAATCGGTCTCTGAACGACTCGAATCTAGTGACAAATAATTTAATATAATCAATACAAGCTATAGGAATCGATTCCATATGATAAAACTTAATTCTTTAACCAAATTCAAAAATTCAACCCCAGGCCCACACCTCTGAACCCGGAAAAATTTACAAAATTCAAATACCCATTCAATAACGAGTCCAACCATACCAAAATCATCCAATTCCAACCACTAATCGACCCTCAAATCTCCAAATCTTACTCTCCAATACCTAGTCCAATATTAATGGACAAAAGTGATCAAAAGTTGATTACCTCTTAAATTNTGGACCCTTCTTTGGTAGAAGTAATTCTTTCTTGTAAAGAACCCATTTCGGTACTCAGGGTGGGTTGATAACCCACAGCGGAAGGCATTCTACCCAATAAGGCCGATACTTCGGATCCTGCTTGGACGAAACGGAAGATATTGTCAATAAAAAGAAGTACGTCTTGCTCATTAACATCTCGGAAATATTCCGCCATAGTTAGGGCAGTCAAACCAACTCTCATACGAGCTCCCGGCGGTTCATTCATCTGACCATAAACTAGGGCTACTTTTGATTCTGCAATATTTTCTTCATTAATTACTCCAGATTCTTTCATTTCCATGTAAAGATCATTTCCTTCCCGAGTACGTTCACCCACTCCGCCAAATACGGATACGCCCCCGTGAGCTTTAGCAATATTGTTAATCAATTCCATAATAAGTACTGTTTTACCCACTCCAACTCCCCCGAATAGTCCGATTTTTCCTCCACGGCGATAAGGGGCTAAAAGATCTACTACCTTAATTCCTGTTTCAAAAATAGATGGATTATTTTATTTACAGAGTCGCCGCTTGGAACTGAGTTTTTGGGTATTCCAAGTCACCTTTTATTTGAATCCCTAGTCAAAGGAAGGTTTGACTCTATTATTATTGGTCTGCGAAAACAAAGTCCGGGTAAGGAATTCTGTTGACCGGGGAGAAGGTGTAAGGCATTCTCCGAGTCCCATAATTTTAGCACGGTCGCTTTATTGACTACATTTGGCTTATATTATTTTTGGATAAACTGTATTTTATTGATTCTCATATTTTACCTATGTCCGCTTTCATTGCTTGATTATTATTGAAGGGCAAAATTACATTGAAAATAACTTTGTAATTTTATTATGACTTTGCAGTTAAGGTCAAGTTACACAAGCGTGCACTCAAATTTGGAATTACGTACCATGATTATGTCACGAGAACCGTACCCATAGTCATGGTAATTTATTATTGGCCACACTTAAAGCACACTACGTTATTCAAAGTTGTTTAATTATTTGCTAAGTTTAGGATTATTGTGAGGCTCAAAGGTTACGGGGTAGAATTACGGAAAAGGTAAGATTGATTATTAAAGATTACTAAAGGTATCAATTATGCCGTATATAGTGCGATAATGCGACAAGCAAATAAATCCTACTTATTCATTCTATTTTATCTATACTTAATTCTTGATGAAGAAAATTAATGGAATAAAATGAAAGCTCATGCTAAACTCCAACGTGATCTCTACCAAATCAATCAGTAGCTCATTTAACTTTTCCAATTCATGATTAATACTCACACCCAACATAAAGCCATAAGAACCCCACTTAAAAGGAATAACTATTAAACAAGATATGCACTTAGTAAAAGATTGATTCAAAACACAGTAGCATTTGTCGTTGATGAAACAGAGATCAATAAACACTCAAACTTTCACGTTGATTCAACAGTTAAACACACCACATAATCACACTGATAATTCAAAACATGAAACTTTAATGGAAATACAGATAAGAGCAGGGAAACGAACCTTGAATATGCAACGGTTTTCAAATATATTGATAAGAAAAAATCTCAGATTTGTACATAATCTCGTTCAAAGTGAAAAGATCCAGAAATAAAAACGAGACCTTCGTCATCAACTCGTAATGGCCGTACGCCGGAACCTCGAACCAAGACCTTGTCGGGGACTTTTTCCAGACTATTTTCACTCAGATTTTAGCGACCAAGAGTGGCTTTTTCCTGCTGGTTTTGTGATATTTGCGAGCTGGTTTTTGGAGGGAGAATCGTTGCATTTTTGCAGTAGTTTTGAAGCTGAAAATTGGCGTTAATGGAGGTAGGTTTTGCAGATGTTTTGTTGCATTTTTGGGCAGCTTTTGCTGTAATTTCGGACTGTTTTTTTGCTGGAATTCAGGGTGAGATTCGTGGCTATTTTTTGCTATGTTTTGGGGGTAGTTTCAGTTGGTTTTTGTAGCTAAAAGGCTGCTGGATTTTGACTGGTTTTTTGGCGTCAAAGA